CTTAAATTTTAGAAGCTTGTTAAATTATTTGTTTTATCCACAATACGCATAGAAATTATTGTGATCGTTTAGGATATACTTTTCTGCTAAACAAACGAATTCACAGACATTAAGCCTAATCCAATATGTTAAAATACTGTTTCGTCCTAAATATTACGCATAATAAACAGAAGTCAAATTACCATTTACATTAAAAAAAATGTTGATCTATTAGATTACAAGCCCAGTGTTGAAAATTATATTTATTACTTGGCTACAAATTATATACTATAGATTATATAACAATAATAATAATACTATACATTAATTATATAAACACCATCCGTTATAAATAATAATATTAAATCCACAATATGCAGTGATCGATTTTAAGCTAATATTAATACCTTAAGAAATGTCTTTTTAATGAAATCGAAGTAACAGGATGGTTGTTTCATTTTGAGCATTCATTATAACGACATATTGTCTTTAGCCTTTGATGGACAAAGGCTAAAAGAGCAATACCTAAATTACATAAAATCAAGTATATTAAATAATTTATCAGAACTGATGGGATTACCTTTCATAAAACTACAAGATTTAATTGAAACTTTTGATTTTTTGGATGAACCAACGAGGAAATTTATGAGTTTGTCAATTATATCAAAGTTACATTCATTTAGGTAAAGCAGGCTCGTGATAGTGACTAGTTTCTACAACCTAAATTTCCTCCTGAAATGTGGAATGTGTATACTTTAGTATTAAATAACAAAAGACTAATAATGTTGAGCAAAATTATTGGCAACTTATCATGCAAATATTTGGAAGTTTTTAGACAATATAAAAAATATACAACAAGGAACGGAGAATATTGTCTTTTAAAATGAGAGGCGTTATAAAGCACTACATCATTGAGGAAAATAATTTTTAGGATTTTTTTCTAAATTGTTAATTCTATCAAATGCCTTATAGTATTGGGTTTTAAAGACCATTTATATTTTTAGTATTTTCATCAAGTGCAAATTTAGTTTCATATTATTTTAAAAATAAAAAATTCAATCATCATTTAATATATTAAAAAATATTATTTTGACAAATTTTATACAATTCTATTGTGGTTGTAAAAGATTAATTATATACTAATATGAAAATTAAAATACAGTAGTTAAAGTTTTTAAATTACTCATAAGTTTAAATAAAATATTGTTTGATTTAAATAAAAAACTACAATAATATGTTATTAAATAATTTCTGGTTTCATCTCTCAGAAATAAAAATCCTACAATTAGAAATAATTTATGGCCCATTGGAACAGATTGTTGTCTTAAGAGGACGTCATACAGAGAATGAAAAACGGTTTTAAATATGTTTTGCGCGGGACTACTTTATTTGATCTGTATTTTTCTTTAATTTAAGATATATATAAAAGTGTCAGACCTACCGGAACATTTTCAAAAGTTAATTTTTTTTGAAAAAGTTGTCATTTTAAATCCCCCCTTGTGGGCAGGTTAAGGGTTAAATTTATAAAAAAAAATATACCAAATGAAAGGTAATGATATTATGCATCTATATAAAAAAGAATTATATTGATATGTTCATTTTTGAAAAAGTTATGGCACTTTTAAGTAAAAAAAATTGAAAAAATTTCGAAAATTAGCGATTTTTAAATTTGTAATTTTTTTGGAGGTTTCCCCCTTTTACGGGGAACGAGGGAATTTTTTTCAATTTTTAAGGGTAATGTCTTCGACTAGATACGATTTGTGATCTTTTGACGTATCATTGAAAGAAATCGGTTCGGTGAGAGCTGAGAAAAAGTGGTAACAGACACAAAAAAAAAAAAAACACATCTTAGTAAAACCAATACCTTCTCAGCTTCGCATCGAAGCTAAAATAGTTACAAAAAAATCTTGTTATAATTTTAAAATATATCAAGCATCCATTTAAAAGTCAAAAGAACCTAAATATACTAAAATATTCAATACAAAATTTACAATTTAAATTCCTCGTGGTATGAAACAATTTGTGTATTTGAAGCCTATTTTTACGTATACACAAAATAGGATTTTAGCAAATTTTTGAGTATCTGCCCTATAAATGAAAGCATTTAGCTAATTTATTTTACTGTATTAATATATGCGTGACAACTTTGTAATCAGACACAATTAAATGAGCAATCTTATATTAAGAAGTATAAATTATAAACTACCTCTTTTTTGAGTAAGTATTTAATTTTTTATACGCAGTATAGAACCTGTTAAAAGATGTGTTACTAAATTGTAATTAATATTGCGTTAGTGAATTATTCATTAGAATTATGTATAAAAAAATAGTATTCTTTTTTTATAATCAATCTATTAGTTATTATTGTAAGCGTGCCTGTAGTGTCTGGTCACAAATAATCCTCTAGGAAGTCGTGCTGGAATTTAAAAATTAGGAACAGTCAGTGGCGTATTTTGAATGATTTCTCGGGTGGTGTCCAACTTTTAATGAACCTCAAAAACGAAAATTGTAGAAATGTTTACTGACTTAAAAAAAACTTACTATTTCTCTAATTACTATTTTAGGAATTGACAAATAATTTGAAATTTGAAATTTTGGTACTGTTGTATCTTAAAAGAAACAACTCTAGTAACTTAACTCAAAGTAATAAATGTTTAATAATAATTCAAATGTATTTATTATAGATATAATTAAACAATGCAAAACATACAAAATAAATATACACTAAAAACACAATAAAACAATACATAAAATGAAAACTTAATGTCATAAACGTACCGCGCGAAAAGAAATTACCTAAAGTTTCAAATTTTTGAGTTAATANAATTACCTAAAGTTTCAAATTTTTGAGTTAATATACATGTATAATACACATGATGATATGATTACAAATACAGGTCACTAAATGGTTTATATGATATCAATGTCACAGTAACGGATTGTTTATTATCAATTATGACTATCATAGATATACTTTCTGTATTGTCAGTTAGTGTATTTATAAAC